ATCCTCCCGCCTTGGCCTCCCAGAGTGCTAGGATTACAGGCGTGAGCCACGGTGCCCGGCCTGGTGTGAGGATTAAATGAGAGAAAATGAGATAGTAAAAATCTGTAACAGATGGTAAGCTCAACACAGGCATTTAAATCATGGCACTGTTCAAAAACCTTTCATTAGGCTCCAGTGCCTCTGAACTAAGCCCAAACTCCACAGCACTGAGGCCACTACCACCTGGCCCTAGCCCAGCAGGCCAGGTTTACTTCCCTTCATCACTTCCTTCCACCTTTTGCTTTCTCTCCCTTCCCCAACTGTCCAGCCAACCTAAGCACCCCAGCCATCTCTACATTCCCACTTCCAGCATAATGATGGGCACATATTAATAACAGGTCCTAAGCACATTGTCCTCCTTCCTGCCATCACGAATGCTTATTTCCACCACATACACATTTCACCTCTGCTCACCCACATGTCAAGGTCCAGCTCAAAAGCAGCTTCCTCCATGAAGCCTTCTTTGATGTTTAAAAAGACTGCCTTGCAGCGTAGTTAGCTGAGTGCACACGCTATCTCCCCACTACCATGCAATTCCTGAGGGCAGGGTCCCCACCCAGGGCACCTGGTACACTGCTTAACATATAACAATGCCGAATACATGCTGGCTGTGTCAAACTCCCCAGCTTTACTTAAATATTTGCATCTCTCTCATATTAAAGCCCTCAGAAATGTCAATGAATAAAAAAGGCAGCCATTATTTGAGGTATGATTAATTTATTATAAGGCTAAATTACTATCTTTAAAGAAGTTGGAATTCTACAAGAGCAGGAAGGGAAATCTCACAATTAGGTCAAATTGATTTTGAATGTAATTTTTTGGCTAGTTTCGAGTAAGGGAGCCCTCAGTGCGGAAAGCAGCTCCGGGGAGTCAAGTTAGGCACGTTGCCATGGTAAAATCATACACTGCGTTCAGCTCCATTTCATTTCTTTTCTCTTTTTAAAATAACAAGGCTGAATAATGAATTGTTCTACCTGGAACTTCCCAGTCTTTAAGTAAATAGATAACTACCATGGGCAATAAGCCAATTTCTACTGGAAGACTATATAACATAGAAGTTAATCACATAGACTAAAGTTAGTCCATAGACAGAAGTTAGAAGTGGGTCCAAAACCAGCTATGTGATTTTGGACCAGTTACTTAACTCCTCTGAACCTCAGTTTTCTCATCTGTAAAATGGAGACAACAGTATTTATCTCATATGATTACTATGAGGATTAGACATGAAAATCCATGCCAAGTGCTTGGTGTAGTACACAGAACAGAGCACAGGTCAATGGCAGTTATTGTAAATGGCTCTTTGTCAAAGTTCAGACACTTTCATGGAACTCCTGAAGTCTTCAGGGGGCCTCACAGATCATGCAGGCCAATAATCCCACTTTAAAAATGAAGACCCTGAGGGCTGGAGAGCATCCTGCAGGCTTCACATCTATATCTGGTGTTTTCCAAACCCAGAGGAAGTTCCCTGAGGCCTGGGAATCACCTCTCCTACATGTCTGTACTGCAGATAGCACCGAGCATGGGACCATGGTCCTCCTGTTTGTCAGCAGGAACAGTGCCTCTGTGTATGACAGATGCATACAGGCTTCCCACGATTAGGGCTTCTGTCCTGGCAGTATGGGCACGGGCACTTCCAGGGTAGACTGCCACATTAAACCACTGAGCTCTCAGGCCAACGCCATCAGTGTCTGCCTTGCCAGGGAGCTCCCATGGAGCAGCTCTGCTCCCAGAGCAGCAGTGTGACGGTGGTGATGATATCAACTCTCACTTAGGGATACCCACTTGTGCCAGGCAACAATGTTAAGCACCTTACATGCCCCATCTCAAAATGATCTTAGGAGGGAGGTACTATTATTATCCCCATTTGACAGATAAAGAAACTGAAGCTCAGAGTTTTGAGCCCATGATGGTGTTTAATAAACACCTGACAGACTTTTTTCATTATCTTCTCTCTTTGCTTATATTAATAACTCAAATGCTCCTTTCCAAAATACTGCTGGAGCATAGGGACTGGCGCAGTCTGAAAAGCTGCCAGGCTTAGTGCAGTTGGGCACCAGGGAATACTCAGAGGAGAAGGGACTTTTATGTGCTCTCAGACCTGCCCTGTGGGCACATAGCAGAAGCTCCAGGCAAGAGAAACGATCCCTAGTCCTAACCATCTGAGCCTGCAGATAAGGCACAGTGGTATCCAAAATTGTCACATTGGTTGAGGTTAAAGGTAAGATCTAGCTGATCAGAATGGGGAACTCTTATCTAACAAATGAGAACATATCTGGCTTTGATACATAATGTCTAATTTTTCTTTAAAAAGTTATAGAACAGGATTCCATAAATCTGAGACTTAAGTCCCACATATTTTACTATCTTTTCAACTAATCACAAAAGAGGAATAAGGAGAAGTCCGGTGGATGCCTTACCACAACTAAATGCACCACATCCAGCAAGCAAACACACATGGGAAGAAGGGGCAGTGCCCAGGGTGGAGCAGCTCACAAGGCATCTGAGCAGTCGCAGTGTGGTACATCATCACGTGTGCAAGCCCAGTGCCACGTACAGCAGCACTGACCCCACAAGAGCCAGGAAATAAAATCCAATGGACTGAGAGTGAAGGAGCTGTGTAGAAAAGATTATGCTTCATTCCACACATTAGCATCTAGAATCCTCAGTGGTCTAGCTGGGAAAGTAGACTACCTGAAAGACTAGCTTGACGCCTAGAAAAAGAGACCAGGTAGGGGTGATCCCTGCTCTCCTAGAACTCCGGACCATCTGTGTTAGAGGTCAACCCAGGGAAAACTTGACATGGCAGAACAGAGAGAGTGGAGCACCATGGTTAGAACTTGTGCTCTGCTGGCATCTGAGCCCCTCCAGGCTCCCGTCCTCACTCCAACCCTCACCTTGGGCAGGTATCACTCACTAAGCCTTAGCTCCTCAATGCTAAAATAGAAATAATGACAGTCTCACCCCCTTAGAGTTGTTGTAAGCATTAAATAAAGCACATAAAGCATTCAGCATAGGGCCTAGCACAGTCGTTCTCAACTGGGGGCAATTTTTGTCCCCCAGAGGACATCTGGCAGTGTCTGGAAACATTTCCAGGTATTAAACTGGGGATAGTTGCTACTGGTATCAGTGGGTAGAGATTAGGAATGCTGCTAAACATCCTACAATGCACAGGACCATCCCTACAACAAAGAACTATGCTGCCTAAAATGTCAAGAGTGCTAAGATTTAGAAACCCTGGCCTAGTATATAGCAAGTGCTCAATAAATATGAACTATAAAATTACCTTTACTATTATAACAATAAACCAGTTGCAGTTTCTTTCTCTTAAGGATAACCAGAATCTGCAATTAAAATGATAAGAGACAAAATGTATTACTTACTCCACTTCTTATAATACCGGGTAACAGATCTGTTATTCTGGAGACAGGAAGAGTTTGTTGCTTGGTTGATTCTGGGGAACCCAGTAACTTTGTGAAATAAATGACATAGCAGAGAACCAGAACTATGGTATAGAAAAGCTGAAAAAAGAAAAATTGTTTTAATAAAGGCATAATGAAAATATGCCTACAAATTTGACCTCAAAGGCCAATCAAGAAATCGAACTGTCTTGATTAACTGCACTTTCTATTGTGCAATGCCTCCCCCTCTGCAAAATAGCGCTGTTCACTTAGACCCAGCTCCACTGCAGCATCTCCGTGTAAGAGTGTTCTCAATACTTCACTCACCTGGGAGAACATAAGTTCTTCTGGGCAGGTGGAACATAATTTTCATGACAGACATCCACTAGCTCAATTGCTACAGCAATGTCAGACAAGTTCTCAAAGGATTTATATTTGGCCAGAGGAATAGCTCCCCTACCTAGACAGGGCACCGTGGAGAGCCACATGCCCTGACTGTGCTACTATCCAGGGACTTACGGTCATCTACGACTGTGGATTTTCCATAAACCCCGGAAACCTGTGACGTTTATGATTACAAAGCAGAATTGAGCTGCTGGCTCTCTCCTCCTCTCTGCACAGTGCATAGGCAGGGCAAAAGCTACTACAGGATGGGGAGGAAAGGGTGGGGTAATAAGAAGGGCCACCCCCCACACCCATCAAGGACAAAAGAATGGCTTCTGGCCAGGACCAGCAGCTGGGTTTTGTTTGCAGGTTGAGGAGGAATATCCAAAAAAGCCCCTTTGACAAGCTCCTTTAACCCTCTTTCTCTCCCGAGAACAGCAGCGCACACTGGCTCAAGAAGAACTGGGACCTCCAGGCCCCGCCTTCAACCTGGCAATACCAAGGCTGCTCCTATAGTAAAGGCAATGGCAGGAGAAAGAGGAGTCTCAGTTTAGCAGGTTTAGGCTCCTGTGCTCTCTGGTCCCAACCATGCCTAAGGACTGAGCCCACCATTCACTGTCCTTCTTCTTTCATGCCTCAAGATCTTAAAACACAAGCAGCACTGCTGTGAGCCACACCACCTGATGCCAACGTCCTCTGTGACAAGTTCCCTTTCACATAAATCATTACTGAGTCTTAATTTGTCTTCCTATACATTAATGAAAACTACAAAGTGCTTTGCACGATAAGATGTTCTGATAACTATCTCATCTTAATTTCATTTGTTAAAGTAGCACTTATACTCTATTATATTCTTATTAGAACTAGAAATATGAACTAGAACTAGAAAATGATGAGATGGCAATGAAACCAGAATTGCTAAAACTGAAAATATACCTGCTCTGACTTGATTCATGCCCGCTGAATTATGTGAGATTTCAATCTAAGCTTGAAACAGGCTTGGTAGAGTTTTCTTCCTATTCTGCAAACAATTGATTGAAATCCAGGGAAAATAATACACATGCAATTTGGTTCCCACCCCACTCCCTTACTGTTTTTCTTCTGCTCTCCTGGACTGCCACATAATCAAAGATCAGTTTGATATGGGCTTGCCCACTGAAAGTCTAGAAGGAGTTTTTGATGTTTGGCAATGAGGCTGAGTGTGTGGCCCTCACTGGGTCCCTGGGAGTGCATGAAACAGGAAGGACCTGGCAGCAAGAGGAGAATCAGTGTCAAGACCAGTATTCTAGCACTTTCAGCCTTTGCCACATGCACAAGTACTAGAATGTAAACCACATAGTAGTGGAAACAAGAAAAACTAAATGGAGAAACATAGATTATATAAAAAGTTAAAAGCCATGTCTCTTACCTGGGCCAAAGAAAAAATGTACAGTCCCCAGTGAGGCACCCACAAGACAAGAAAAGCTGTCAGGACACTCTTAAGGATTACCGACAGGCTCTCAGTGATCACCTGCAAACAGGGGGTAAAGGTGCACTTTACGAACATTATCAAAAAGCAAAGATGCAAAGCCATGCCAAACAGAAAATCCAGGGTAGTGGTTACCCAATGGTGGGGGCAGGGCACATGCTAGACATAGTATCAGTAATAGTTTACTTCTTGGGTGGGGTGGTACATTCATGGATCTTCAGTACATTATGCTTTAAGATTTACATGTTATATATGTTCTTTTGGATGTATCAAATAATATATTTTAAAGGATGAAGAGAAAAATTATTAGTATACAACTAAAAATCACTAGAAAAATCTGAAAAATCCTTACAGTACTCCTAAATTCTGATTTGAATTAATAACTTCCTTATTAGCAAACCTGTTTTTCATTTATACTATAGCAGATGTAAACTTTAGCCCAGCCCATCTGACAAATTTCAAGTGAATAAACTTAACAGATCATGTCACCTTTTTCCAATTTTTTTTTCCAGAGATAATTGTTTTTTAAAGATATTCCAGCCTGTTGCCCAGGCTGGAATGTAGTAGCCCAATCATGGCTTACTGTAGCCTCCAACTCCTGGGTTCAAGTGATCCTCTTGCCTCAGCCTCCCAAGTAGCTAGGACTACAGATGTGTGCCACCACACCTGCTGATTTTAAAATTAAAAATTTTTCTTTAGAGACGGGATCTTACTATGTTGCTCAGGCTGGTCTCGAACTCCTGAGCTCAAGCAATCCTCCCGCCTTGGCCTCCCAGAGTGCTAGGATTAGAGGCGTGAGCCACTACGCCCAGCCCCAAATACTTTTTTAGATGCAAGTCTGGAAAAATCATTCTCACCTATAAAAGCATTTTTTAAAAATCACGTTTTCCCTTATTCTTCACATTTCCCATTCACAGCAGCAGGCACACTGACCTTGAGCTTGATGAACATATGTGCTTGTGCCAAGACCCAGAAGGGCTCTCCTAGAAGCTCCACCACTGCCGAGAGACCAAATAGCACCACTCCAGTTCTGTAATGGGGGATGACATCAGGATCGGGCACTTCAAGCAACTGCAACCAGACCCAGCCCAAGAACAAAGACCAAAATACACCCAGAGGGACTCTGGAAGAGGGGAAAAAGTGTTTCATTAAATTTAAAAATAAATATTAAACATTAAAATACTAACATTGAACAGAAAAAAAGCAGTCATAATAAAAACAGCTACCGCTTATTAAGGCACTAACTACGTGCCAGGCACTATGATTCACACCCTTTATTTCACTGACACCTTGCAATGATCCTCTGTCATTATCCCCATTTAAAAGATGAGGAAACTGAGGCTGACAGGCACTGGGCAACTTGGCCAAGGTCATGAACAGCTAATCAAGGGCAGAAGCAGGACCCAATCTTGCTGTAACTCCAAAACCTATACTCTTGTCCACTGGGTTATACACACTGACTTGACAAGCAAAATTCTCAGAAAGAAAACACCTGTTGTCTGTGCTTAGAATGATTGACAGTATGTGGCTGGTTCTAGCATCCCAAATAACCAATAGACCAGTGCTCAGTATCCTTTCACGTGTGTACCACAGAGCACTTAAATATGACTGGGTGGTTAACAGCCATTCCTCTAATAAAATGAACACCTACCAGCCCTATGACAGTCATTTCTGTGAGGCAATAAGGAGTTATGCAAGGGCAGCATTGGAAAACAACCTCAACCACCAACCCTCCCCGCAGGATCTAGCTGGAGAAAAGCCATTACAATTTTTGGCTGATGTACTTGGCCTTCAAGACTATTCTAAAAGACTCAGAACTGAAATCACATAAAATTGAAGAAAGATATAATAAAACCTCTAAAAGGCTTTCAAAAAAAATACAAGTGATTGTTAAAAGCTCAAAAGATACTAGAGGGCAAAAAGATTTACGAATAAAAAAGATGGCACAGGCCAAATGGGAGCCAGAGAAATGACCTCCAAAGGGGAGCTAGAAACCTGGCCCAGAGGCCGGGTGCGGTGGCTCACGCCTGTAATCCTAGCACTCTGGGAGACTGAGGCGGGAGGATCGCTTGAGCTCAGGAGTTCAAGACCAGCCTGAGCAAGAGCGAGACCCTCGTCTCTACTATAAACAGAAAGAAATTAGCCAAACAACTAAAAATAGAAAAAATTAGCCAGACACGGTGGCACATACCTGTAGTCCCAGCTACCCAGGAGGCTGAAGCAGGAGGATTACTTTAGCCCAGGAGTTTGAGGTTGCTGTGAGCTAGGCTGACAACACAGCACACTCTAGCCTGAGCAACAGAGCAAGACTCTGTCTCCCAAAAACAAACAAACAAACAAACAAACAAACAAAAAGCTCCTTCAACACAGACACTCTGTCCTTCCTGTCCCATGCCTAGCCCCCAGAAACCCACTGCAAAACTGAATCTGGAAGACAATTCAGCTTTAGGCAAGTGTTGCTGTTTCATTTACAACACTCACTACACTTGCCTTCCTGAGACTTGTCTCTTGCCAAAGCACAACTCACGTGAGCCACACGAGGTTGAGGGTCTGGCTCCAGTCTCGCTGGGTGCCCCCACTCAGACATGCTCTACGGAAGGCCTCTCTAGCCAGGAAGATGGTGGTTGAGTAAAGTAGTGTTAGCCTGTAAAGGAAAAGCAGAAATCAATAAAGCCTTCGGTATTTTCATAGAGAGAACTGGGATTTTTCCAGGGAGGAGAACAGGGAGGAGATATAGTCTTAGTCAGGAACCACTGGTGGTGATGTGGAGGGCAGGACCCCACGCCAGTCCGATTCATGAGAACAGAGTTAGGATCCTATCAAGGGATACCCGAGTGTGCATGTCTACAGTTACGTCTGGGACAGAAACTACTGCAGTGGCCCCCAGAGCCTGCAGCCTTCATGGCTATAGGCAGAGGTGTGGCTCTGACCATAAGGAGGAGAAAAGGACAAGACTATGACCCCACACAGCAAGGGGACCTTTTGGTCACACTGAAACTAGTGACCTGACAGCCCCTGTGAGAAAAGCTGAGGCTCTACTAAGTAGAGGTTCTGGCCAAAAGAATCTCAAGATAGGCAAAAAGGCTGGAAACCATTACAGAGGCCGCTGCAACCAAGATCAGCAAGGCTTGCCCGGGTATCTCGTAGGTGGGCAGCACCTGGGTGAACCTTCCTACACCTTAGCAAGGAGTAGCTGAGGTTCCCCTTCATCAACAGGCAGTGGCCCGGATGAAACCAGAGTGAGGATGGCCCAGGGTTAAGGTCTCTGAGGTTGCCCAAGGATCATCCTGCTTCCCAGTGCCTCTGTGTAACATCGCAAAGAGGAGACCCAGCCACACCTTAAGCAGGGGGCCAGGCCAGGCAAGGGCTGTCAAACAGGGACCTGCCAATCTCGGGAAGGCTGCATGGAGAGAAAATTCTGAGCCCCTAAGAGGATTTGGCCCTCTTCCTTCCTGCTTTTAAAGCAGTATTTCTCAAAGTATGATCCCTACTTCAAAATTACCTTAGGAGCTTGTAAAAATGTAGATTCTTGGGCCCTTCGTCCTCAGCCCTGCCTAGTGCAAAGTTCCCTAGATGATTCCTTTGCCCATCAAAGTTTGAGAACTGCCACTAAGCTCTGAGAACAGAGCAAAGAGCATATGCTTGGTAAGTATTAGACATGAAATGCTGTCTAGAACATACTGTCTTGTTTATCAGGGCATGAAGACACACCTGAGAAGCTGAGCTATTCTGAGCACTCACATCATTTCATATACTTTGTGTCACTTGTGAATACAAAATATGTGTGGGTGTCCTTGAACAGAAAGGAGGAGAGCCGAAGAAACAAGCTGAGTCTAAAAGACAAAGCAAGTCAGCTTTCCAAGAGACTCCAAGGAACTAACGACAAGAACTCAAGCTCTCATCCCACTTACTGTATCCCAATTATAAAATCACTGAGGAGGGAAGGAAGGTGGTTGCTCCAGCCCTGCAATTATGAAGCACATCCTCACGAACTGCAGAATTCCTGCTTCCTTTGCTGTCAGCAGGACAAGAACACGGGGTTATAATATACTTGAGACGGGGTTTGCAATGAATTACTCCCACTCTTCTCCTGGATTCTAAGAGTAGGAAAACCGGAACAGTGGGCAGAGAAATGTGCATTTGGAGGCTGCTAATGAAAAACACTCCATGAGTCCATTAAAAACATCACCTGCTCATCCCCCGCCCCTGCACACTCCTCCTCAGCCCACTGCTAGAACACTCTGCTTCTGATAGAGGCCCATGCCTCTAAAATCTGAGGGTGTCACACAGGTACAGAGTTTGAAGAAAACCTGTCTAGGGATGTGAGGCGTGAGCAGTGCCAGGGTGCATCCCCTCTTACCTGACATTCACTACGCCAACAATTTCCTTGGACAGGAAGCGAAGGATAAATGCATTCAAGACAAAGGTGATCAATCGAAATAACACCTATAGAAAAAGGAGAAAAATACATAAGAATAAATTATGTTAGGAATGTTTACTTTGCTGAAATGAGAACAATGTGGCTGCTCTTCCTAATGTGATGTAATGATATACAGCAGCTTTGCCGTGGAGACTCTCTTTTAAGATGTTCAGTTTGTTGGCTGAAATTTCATTCCTTGGGGTCTCTCAGCATTCTTGTGCAGTGGTCAAATAACCCAAGAAGGCAGTTGGAAGTTTCCCTAATTTACTGATGAGAAGAGGGAGGTCCTGATATATTCAGAGAGTTTCAGGTTCAAAGTCAAGCACTCCAGGAGGCAGAAAGAGAATTCTAGTTAGTGGTTCATATTGTCCAGCCTCCTAACTGAAACCCTCCAGCCTGTTTAGAAGCACACACTTAGCAAGTGGGAGCCTTCAGGGTATAGCAGACTCACTAAGGATCATGAGGTCTACTTTCTCTTGTCTGCCTGGAAATTTCTAGGAATTCCAAGAATGACGTTTAATCTCTTTGAACTTCAGTTTTCTCAATTAGAAAACAGAAAATGTTGTATTTCTTTCTTGAATACCTTCCCCTTTCCACAGAGGAGTTGAAATACCTTTTAAATGACAACTACGATAATAAGATAATATCAAATGGGGGGAAAGGGAGACAGAGTCCAGTTGTTGCCATTTGAAAGGCATTGAGACTTTCAAACTTGTCAATTCAAGAAAACCACCTAGGTCGGGCGTGGTGGCTCATGCCTGTAATCCTAGCACTCTGGAAGGCAGAGGCCGGAGGATCACTTGAGTTCAGGAGTTCGAGACCAGCCTGAGCAAGAGCGAGACCACGTCTCCACTAAAAATAGAAAAATCAGCCAGGCATGGCGGTGCATGCCTGTAATCCCAACTACTCGGGAGGCTGAGGCAGGATTGCTTGAGCCCAGGAGTTTGAGGTTGCTGTCAGCTAGACTAACTCCACAGCACTCTAGCCCAGGTGACAAGTGAGATTTCATCTCAAAAAAAAAAAAAAAGAAAGAAAGAAAAAGAAAACCACCTAAGCAAAGAATTCTTCCCATGAGACATAGAGAACAACAGGCTGCAATTAAATGAGGTTGCTAAATGGGGATGTTGGGTAGGGTACTAAGTCTCACTCACTCACTGACTCCCTCCTGCATTTCAGCAGCAAATGGCAAATCACTTCTGTGTTAAGCACCCTCAGGGTTAACTGTGAACAGCTGCAATTTGGAAGATTCAATCAAAGTATGCCAATAGACTACGACGGCTTGAAGTTCTCTAGGGGGAGATATAATCAAAAAGAGTGCAGTAACATTGTCCCTATAGTGTCACAGAGCAGTAAGGTGTCCAAAGCCAAGAGATCACCATCTTAACCTTTATGGAGTCAAAGGTGATCTTTTGAGGGTCTGATAAAAGCTCTGTAGCCTTTCCTTAGAAACATGCAGGAACACAAACCAAATTCTGTACTCAATTTTAGAGATTTGAAGCCAATTCATGGAACCCTTACTGAAGAAAGCTCTCAGCTGAGAGTCTCAACTCATCATTTAGCTCTTAAACCCACCATTTTCTAATTTTTATAAGCTTCAATTTCCTGTGTCAAATGAGGCTATCTATCTCATAGAGTTGAGTGCAAGGATCAAATGAGGCTGTAGAGGTGAAAGTATTTTTAAAAAATGCATACAAATAAAAGGTATTAATACTTTCACCACGGCTGGCTCAGAATTAAGACTCTCAAACTCTTGCAGAGTAAAACGTAATTGCAAAGTTACCTGAGGTGTCTGCATCATAATTTGAGAAAGCATTCAAGGCTGAATTAAAACACTCAAGAAACCTAAAGATAATGGCTACTAAAAAAACCTACATACATACATTTATGTTAACTTTAAAGTTATCATTGTCTAAGAAACTTAATGTCTTAGCCATATCCGTATCTCCTAATTGGTTTGAATAAAGGTTTGAGCTGATGAAACTCTGAGGTTGCTCTTGCTACCCACTATTTGCCCTACACAATGGCCCTTGTTATTAGCAACATAGTCTTTATTTGCTTTTGTAATGGACTTTACAGTTTAAAAAAGCTCTTTCACATCTGTTAATTATTTTGACACTTAAAAGCAACCAGATAAATGCGCAGGAGGCAAGTAAGACTCAGAGTGAAGTGATTTGCCCAATGTCACACAGCAAACAATGACTCAGCTTGACCTTACAGGTGGGCTGCCTGACTCCAGCGTGTTTTCAGCTACAAGTTGTTTTCTTTTCAGGAAGCCAATCTGCAGGGTAGTAAGGTATTATCAAAGGTTGGAAAATCAACATTGCAGATAAAGCACTGAACTTATACAGTTATGTGGATTCTGAAATAGCAAAAAAAAAAAAAAAAACAAACAAAAAAACCCTAGGTAAGCTTAGGGTTAGGTGAAGAACTGCTAACATTTACTAAGCACATATCACATGTAAGGCACTCTTCTACATGCTTTGCATAGACTATCTCATTTCATTCCTACACTATTTAAAAAAATCCTTATTATCCTAATAAAAGAAGCTAACATTTATTAAGTACTTGTAATGTGCCAGGCACTTAACAGGCAAGATTTCATCTAATCTTCCTAATGACCCTATGAGGCTGCACTATTGTTCTTACTGAAGATGAAACTGATGCTCAGAGAAGTCGAGCAATTTTCCCAAGGGCAGGCATCTAGCAAGTGACAAGACCCAAGTTTGAGCCCAACTCTGCTTGGGTCTTCCTCCTAAGCTCCATGTGCCTCTTTAAGGTAAAGGGGAAGGTGTATTCAGGACTTGTGTGAAGTTGGGTTGACTGGCTCAACGGCAAGAGAAAAAAATGGAACAATTTAAGGCAGAATGACCAACTCTCAGGGTTTAAAGAATCTTTAGATACCATTTGGACCAACTGGCATGTATCATAGCTGACAGATAACAAGAATTAGGGCCAAGAAGGGGAAGTGACTTGTCCAAGGTCATATAAAAAGAAGAAAGATGCAGCTAACCTTTATTAAGTGCATACCAAGAGCCAGGTACTGTGTTAAGTGCCTTTATTCGAATGATCCCAGTGAGTCCTTGCAATAACCTTATGCGCTAGGTACTACCTATTATTACCCCCATTTTATCAATGAGGCGCTGTGGTTCCACAAGTGAAGTCGCTGGGCCTGGAACACGCAGCAAGTACATGGTTCCACTCCAAGCCTGCCTGAGCCCAGATCCCTGTTCTTAGCTATGCCATATGGCCTCCCTGAACTCAGCGGGTGTCAGAGAGTTTGAGGGTCAGGAGTGGGATATGGAGGAAATGAACCCCTTGCCTTAAAAATATCAGATTCTCGAGCACAAAATAAGAAACCTCCCACCCCACCCTGCCACCTGATCTAACTCTCTCCAATTGTCATATGGTAAATATAATGCTCAGAAGGAATGTGGCTTGTTTGCAGTCACTCAGCCAAAATTCTGAATGCAGACTTCCAACTCCGGACCCGGACGCCCCCTCAGTGACCGTGGCCACGGTCTCCTGTCTACCCCTTTATACCGGAGTCCACGTTGGAACTGGGTCTGCCCCGGGGAGGGCCGTCAAGGGCCCCAGGGCCGCCTCCCCGCGAATCCCGGCTGCGGTACGAGCTGGGACCTGCAGGGCAGAGAAAGTACCTGCATGAGGAGACCTGAGGAGGCCAGCCGGGCCGCCTGGCCCAGCAGCTCCTGGCTGCCCATAGCCTCGGCGCCCCGTATCAGTCACTGGGAAACGCCGCAGCCAGCCGGCTTTGTCGCGAGAAGACAGCGTCACGAAGAAGCTCGCTTGCTGATTGGTCACCTTGAGACAGCGGGGGCGGGGCCCGAGAAGTTCTGGCCCCTTAACTGGGCTGGGCTCGGGCTGTCCTTGCTTCCGTGCTGCAGTGTCTTCTGCTTTGTGATTCTTGATCATGAGCTTCCTGTCTATCCTCTCTGTCCCAAATAAGCTAAATACTGTGGCCAGTGCTAAGAGACACTGTTAAAGTAGCCAAAGGCCCTTGTCTGAGGCTTTCAGCCGCCAACGAAGAAACACCAACTTCTCTGGCCTCAGCTTCCAAAAGGGGAATGAACTCACTGGCCTGGTTAATAAGATTCTTGCGGGCGGTCTTGCTTACAGAATCGCAGCCACCACCTCTCTGAATTAGACTGGGCAGGAATTGTCCCCATTTTACAGAGAAAATACTGAGGACTAGAAGTTAAATGGACCATTATCACGTGTATGGTTTTGTGAAATCCTTCCTAAAGCTAGGAAAACTGGGCCATTGTCAGAGATAAGCAAAGTGAGCCTTGGAGATGTGAAGTGACTTGTTCAAATCTACACAACTGTTCCCTGATGGAGTGGATCCCAGGCTTCTGATTCTAAACTTGCCGCTCTAGCCTGCATGCTAGGAATTGTGAGGGTAGAGTGGAAGAATGGACCAGAAGTGCTTTGTGAGACGTTAAGCACCCAGCATACACAACACCCAGCTGTTGTTCTGTGGGTGTTCTTATTATCTACTACGTAGGCTGTAGGAAGCCCAATTTTTTTTTTTTTTTTTGAGACGGGGTCTCACTCTGTCGCCCTGGATAGATAGAATGCAGTGGCCTCATCATAGCTCACTGTAACCTCAAACTCCTGGGCTCAAGCAATCCTCCTGCCTCAGCCCTCCAAATAGCTAGGACTACAGGCATGGGCTACCATGCCTGGCTAATTTTTCTATTTTTTGTAGAGACGAGGTCTTGATCTTGCTCAGGCTGGTCTCGAACTCCTGACCTCAAGCGATTCTCCTGCCTCAGCCTCCCGGAGTGGTAGGATTTACAGGCATGAGCCACTGCATATGGCCATGGAAGCCCAATCTTTTTTCAATCTCTTTTAGGCCTTCCATGATTTGGCCCCAACCTGCCTTCTCACTACTTTTCACACCATCACTACCCTTTCCCAACACACTCTAGGCCCTAGCCATTTGGAGTCCTTACTGGTCCTCAAACTGGCCCTATCTCATTGGTCTTTGCTCCTGCCACCCTCTCTGTTCAAAGTGTCTTCCCTGACAGCATCTCTTATCCTCCCAGGCCCCACTGTCCCGATTTTCCTGACTACTCACAGTTGGCACCTGCTATGGACCTAAATGTTTGCGTCCCCTTCAAAATGCACATGTTAAAGACTAATACCCAATGTGATGGTAATAGGAAATGGGGCCTTTAGGAGGTAATTAGGTCAAGAGGGTAGTGCCCTCATAATGGGATTGGTGCCCTTATAAAAAGAGATGTGAGAAAGATGATCTCGCTGTCCACTCTGTGAGGATACAGCAAGAAGGTAGCTATCTGCAAACCAGGAAGAGGTCACTCACTAGGAACCGAATTGGCTGGTGACTTGGTCTTGAACTTCCAGCCTACATAACTGTGAGAAATAATATTTATGTTGTTTAAGCCACTCAGTCTATGATTTTTTGTTACAGCAGCCCAAGCAGACTAAGAGAGTGCCCCTAAAGCACTTTGTACCCCTTTATAGCTCTTAGTACAGTCTGCATTATAGTAAGAGACTAGAATATGTATCTCTATCTGATCAGCCCATGAGCTCCAAGGAGGGAAGCTTGCCTGGTTTTGCCTCCTGCAATAGTGGAAGGGAACATTCCCAGGACTCCCATAAATGCCTCCTGACACATTACTGCTGCTACTGCTGCTGGAGGCAGACTGTGGGACTAAACGCCTATATACCCCACCTTTCCGGGTGAAATGAGCTGTTAGTATGGAGGCTTAGAATGGCCTGGGATCCTCAATAGGCCACTCATTAACAGGGTGACCTCAGTATTCTCAACTATTAAATAGGGACATTATCTGTCCTGTAAGGCTAGTCATAAGGATTGTATCATACATGTCTAGCCCTCAAGGAGCTCAAATTCTAGTGGAAGGAGAGTGAAAAACCCTAATAAACAAACAATAAAATTTCACATAGGAATAAGTGCTATGAAGGAATAAGACCATATAAGTTAATAAAGGCTCTTGGAGGAGAGAGAGGGGCACTCTTCTGGAAGTTAGAGAAAACCAGGCACCCAGCTGGGGGAGGAGTGTACTTGGAGAATAGAGAAAGCACTGCAGGGTCAAGGTATTTGGCATAATGGCTGAGATGCTCCAGGTCTTGACCCAGGCAGCCTGCCCACCCCCATGGACCATGGGCTGGCAGATGAGGTGGGCTCCCACTTCCTTTATCCCCAGCCAAGCAGCCTCCTCCTCCATAGCTAGTCCCTGGAGCAGAACCAGCCAAGAGCTCTTCATGTGCACATACTCCTAAGCCTGGGCTTCCATGTGGGCTGGTTTGGAAGGGACAAGGGGATCATTTTGCCAGGCGGAAAGAAGCCAAAGGGGAAATGCTCTAAGCTAAGTCCAAAGGGCAAAGCCTCCCAGGAGCCCAGGGTATGTATGGACTCTTCGGGGCTCCCGGGGCAGGAGTCAGAGGACTTTTTCTCTTATTCTGGAAGTTAAGACTTGGCAAGGAGGGACTGAGCAGACACTGTGTGTCCAGAGCCATGCTGGGTTCTGGGGTGGGGTGGGGAGAAGGAACTGTGAGGACAGTCCACAAGCACTGACCACGTGCCTCCACTTAGGCACCTATCTGGGCACTACACATGCAGGTATTGACTCCTTCATGCTCTCAATAACCTATGAGGGAGGTACTGCAGATGAGGAAACTGAGGCACAGGGATGTTAAGTAACTCACCCAAGGCCATTCAGCTAAGGGGCAGTCAAGCTGGTATTTGAACCCAGGTCCTTTCTGACTCCAGATGCTTAAACAGTAATGTTCTTGCTATCAAAAAAGCTTCTGATTCTATAAGAAACCTAAGAGTCCCCATACCTAAGCCACAGAACACATGTGGCATTGAGAGGGAGGAGTCTGGAAGGGCTGCAGTTGTTGAGCTGCAGGGGGCTTGGAGACTTCCCCTCCTCCCTGCTGAGCCTTGCCAAAGGCCTTGAATCTAGAGTTATTGGCACAGACAGGACGTGGCACTCTCCATGGTCTTGCCTGTGGGGCGCTCAGCTCAGGGCTGGCAAGCTGTGGCTCACTGGCTGTTGCCTGTTTTGTATGGCCTGCAAGCTAAGAATAGTTTTTATATTTTTAAATGGTTGAAAAAAATTAAAACAATATTTCATGACATGTGAAAATTATATGAAATTCAAATTTCAGTGTCCACAAATAAAGTTTTGTTGGAACACAACCACATCCACCCATTTGTTTACATGTTGTCCATAGCTACTTTCCTTTTTCTTTTATATTTTAGAATTTTTTTCTTTCTCTCCAAAAATCGCTACAGGAAACAGCTATTTTCTTGCTACAATGGCAGAGTGGGTTGATCTGCAAACCTGAAAATATTTACTAGCTGGCCCTTTCCAGGACGCGTTTGCCAATTCCTGGTAATCACCACTGAGCCTGGGCAGTTGGCATGGAGTAAACATTTCAGTAATGAATGAATGAATGCATTTATGAATGCACTGGAATTCATTCACTGGAATGAATGAATGATGAGGGACTAGGAAAGGAAGAAAGACAAATAAATAGGCTCTTTTTGGGGGGTCACCTAGTTTGGGAAGCAGGAGCTTCTGATTCTATAGGAAACCTAAGAGTCCCCTTGAGAATACCAGACTGTAATTAGTGGTCATTGAAGGAGCTGTTTTCCCCAGGCTTCTCCCTGCCTCCTGCCTCTATGCCAGCTGGCCTTCCTGCCAGGGAAAGCTGACCCGAGCCACCTATTTTATTACAAATCTGGAGGGAAGTGCCAGGGCTGATGCCAAGCCAGTTAGGCTCCTGGAGCAGAAGGATAGGGAGGGAGGCCACTGGTGGGCAGGGAGGCCACTGGTGGGCAAGGTGGAAGCATGGCTGAGCCATGGACCTCAGCTGGATGGAGGCAGGAGACCTGGGTGTGGTCCCACACATGAGCCACTAGGTGGCGGAGTGTCCTGGGTGACGGCCCTGCCAAGGCTTTCTGCGGCCCAGAGGACCTCCATCATGGCCTCTCCCCAAGTAGGACATCAAGGGTCTGCCCCTCACTCAAAAGTCCCAGAGTGTGAGAGCGCGATACTAACAGTCCACGTTTGTCCACATGGGCGCTGTGCGAGGCACTTCACTTTCATAATCTCATTTAACTTCCATAGCAGACCCACAAGGTAGACAACATTTTTATCCCCACTTTACAGACCAGGAAATTGAGGCTCAGTGAGGTTGAAGGACTTGCCTAAGGACTAGTGAATGGCAATGCCAAAATTTGGATTAGGCAGTGTGGCTCTCAGACCCTTACCAGAACTAAACCAGAGAGTTTATTGTTAACGCTGATTCCTGGGCTCCACCTCAGCAGTTCTAGGGTGGGATCAGGAATCTGTATTGACCAGCACCCCACCCTGGGTGCCTCTGAAACAGTGGACCAGGCTCTGAGAAGCACTGCCTGCTTCTGTGGGCTGGAAGCGTCTGTCTGCCTCAAGCAGTCAAAACAATCCTTGAAAGCTGCCCCCAGGCTTGTCCAGCCCTCAAGGAGCCTTGTTCTCAGGGCTGGGCCCAGGGCTAGTGGACAGGGCAGCAGGAGCTGCATGCAGTGGCTCCATGAGGACCGTGGAGGAATTCAACGCCAGGAAGGGTATACAGGGCACCCCCTGGGCACCGGGGTCTGCCCAGGGTTGGGGTGAGCAGCCACAGGGCCCTGGCTTTGCCTGCTCCTCTGGGCATTGATTTGTGCAGAGGGAGAGAGTCACCTGTGATGCCCACATATCAGCATGTTTCATTTCAGTCTAGCCTCGCATTCC